CCTGTAGCCAAAGCCATGTCATGTATACGCAATAACGGCACCCCTCCCCACCCCATCCCATGTCAGGTGCACACCTCGCTCGACCGTCAGGGCTGCCTCTCTCCTTGCCTTCCCTTTGTCATAAATTTCCTCACCCCGCAGCACCACTCTCCTCTCCTGTCAGTATATGCGGATAAAACTCAACCTGTGCTAGCGCCCGCTGGGAGAGCTGTAGCCGAGAAGACAGATAATACAGACAATGCCATGGCCAATGGGCTAGGAGCAGTGCAAAATTCCGAAGGGCTTCAAATTTCAAAGGACTAATTCAGGAAAGATGTAGCGCATCCACATGCTTCATAGTTGCCTACCTTCTATTAGTTTAGCCAAGGCTAACAAGTACTCTTTCAAAGAAGCCCATAGAAAAACAAATACAGCACAAAATGAGGGATTCGTCCCGCCGTTATGGCTGGACACAGTTAGACCTTACCGCTCTGTAGATTACCAGAGAACAAGAATCAAAATTGGCAGGGTTGCATAATACAGATACATAATTCCATCAGAAACTAACATTTATTGCGAGAGTGATCCTCTCAGGGAAATGTGCCAAGTCCAGCACCCATCCTTCAAAAATGATAAAGATGATCTGCTCCAGAAAGTTTGAGAAATGAAGCTCCTCAGAACTGTGATGTTGATTCTCTCCATTCAATATTTCCAAATATTTTATCTGATGGTTATGTGGATACAAATGAGGCTAAATGAACCAGCCGATTGGCGGACATAACAAAAGCCTACCATCGGAGGGAGTACTATTTAGCCAATACACTTTTCAAGCTTAGGAACCAATATTAATCACATACCACAGGCCAAGGCTTTACAACTCGAATACTATGGAAATGATGGTAGGAAAATCAGGAGGATTGAGGACGATGTATGCTCTAGAATTGTTGTAACTATCATCGGAAGCCTGTACCAGAATCAGATATTGACTGTTAGAACTCAGTTTGGGTAGAAGTAAAACAAAAAAAATAACAATACAATTAATACATGGTTAGTTGGTCAATATCCTTCCAGAACATTAATTTGAATTGTGTGAATGCATATTATGACCTGCAATAGAAAGACAGAGATCATCCACCACAGATATACTCCCTCCGTCCGAAAATACTTGTCATCAAAATAAACAAAAAGAGATGTATCTCCAACTAAAATAAATTTAGATATATCCTTTTTTTTTTATTTTGATGACAAGTATTTTCGGACAGAGGGAGTACATCCATTCATCAGGATAAATTGTTTGTTTTTAATTCGAAGAGAAACAGTAGCATATACATTCACCTGGATTTATTTGTGTCTCAATACATGACATGGAGTAGCACACAGAAACTTGGTCAGCGGAAATTCGTTTTGGCTCTCATGCTGATGGCAGTTTGGTCCAGATGGAGCCCGCGTGTCCTCATCCACGAAGATTGGCCGCCTGAACCCATGAAGAGGCTCAGGTATTCAGAAGTTCAGAACTAAATTGGGCAGCTACACAGGTCAAACAAGATGCTGACAAGATTACTTACCCATCGGTCAGATAGACTTGGAAATCCATCACCGAGGTGGCGTTGGAGAGCTCTTGAAAAGATGGGGTTCCGCCGGACTTGTGATTCTCGGGATCTAGGCGTTTTTGCATTTAGGAATGACTTCTTACAACTATATAGACTTTGGGAATTCGGATTCATCCGGGAAAAAATCAGGGCCAAATAAGGCCGTCTACTAGGGTTTACGGGCCCCGCAAGTTTGGATTGGAAAACATCGTTTTCCCGCCCCTTTTTTCCCGCCCGGGGGTAATCCCCTACGTGTGTTTCCTATTAGTATTGATTTCGCATCATGGACATCTCGTAACCATTGGATCACCGTCGTCATCATCATCATCATCGTCGTCGTCGCCGTCATCATCATCATCATCATCATCATGTGTTAGAGAAGTTATGAACTACGGCATGTCAATTCCCCGTTTCGTTGATTGGCGTATAAGCAAACCCCCTCCCCCTTCCGACGTTCTGCGCCGAGACTCCCGCCTTGGACAGTTTATTTCTCTCATTTATATACGGGACTACCCCAAATTGTTTCACTGTCAATCCTAAATATCATTCATGGTTCACTCTTTTATTTTCATTTTTTGAGAAACTTTGGTTACGGAGGACTGCATGCATGCGATCATGGCCTTGGACGGAAGATCGCCTCGGGTGGGACCCCGCGGCTCGGGCATACTGTCTCCGATCGGGCCGATTCCGGATCCATTGTAAAGTACTCGGGGAGCCGAGGACCGTGGAAGCGTACGCCGGGACGACCGCGCACTAAGGCCGCATATTGCGTCATGCCAAACAATGAAATACCCGCTCGTCACGCGAGACGGAGAACGGTCCACACGGGCCTACAGAGCTTTGAAAGGCCCCCCTTCTTCACGAGAGAATTAATTCGCAGACGTAGGGTCTACCCCTCCATGAGGTTTGGGACGCTTCCGAGGGATTTTAAAAAATATATGTTGTGGCACCGGCTACCGACGCACCCATGCTTGCCAATGTTTGCATGCACAGGATCCCACGTGTGGTCCCGACGTCCTTTGCTCTACCGGTTGCCCTAGGATCCTTCCATACCGTGCTCGGGAGTCCACCACGTGGGACCGAAGATTTGGGGGCTTTCCCGCCCAAACTTGGCTTCACGCGGCCCGGGTTAGCGTGCCTTCATTTTCCCGCCCAAATTCCGGCGCGGGCGTACTTTCCCGGTGCCCGCGGTTGACATTTTGGCCCGGAGATTTCATGGGTCGTTTGCTTTTTGCGAGAGGCGTGGAGGCGGTGGCACAGGGCAGCGCGGTAGGCCAAATATCACCAATTTTTAGAAAAGGAGGATGATCCCGGCCTCTGCATCTCGGATATGGATACAACCACTTTATTGATTATTCTCGAGGACCTTACAAAGCATTACAACAATGTGCCTGAATCCACCATCTTGGCAACATATGCCGCTACTCCTATTCAAAATGATGAAGGGGTGCTAGCTGGGCCACTACTCAAACCACTCACCTAAGCCTAACATAAAAAGCCGGAAGCCGAAACTCATTCGGAGGCCCCAGCCGAGCCACATACCGGGTCTGAGGCACAATCCGGTCAGACGCACTCGTGTGTTGTCGCCGCCATCTTCCACAGGTCTTCAGATCATATTGAGGCTTCTACCTTGTCTGGCCACTCAGCCATCGACGTCACCATGACGCCAGACAACAACCTCCTCCTGCGCGAGCCCATCTACGCACATCGGACGCCGAGTCTCCACAGCGCCATGCCATCGATCGCCGCCGCCATCAAAGGGTGAGATGAAACATCTCTCCACCATCCCTCCAGCCAGCACTTGCTCCAAGACGATGCCCCCAGAAGGGTAAGCGATAGAACGCCATCATCATCCGATCCGGAAGACCCAGATCCGGAACACCAAATATCACCAATAGCCCGACAAAACAGATCATGAGGAATCCCTATCAATCACTGGTATTGTTAGTGTGGTATATGTTCTTGCCGCAGTCAACAAGCCCTCCCCGTGGACCTGGAGCGAACCTTTCGTACGGGGATGGCAGAGTTTCGTCCGGCCCAGAAAATTGCTTCGCGTACTTTTCGTGAGGGTAGTTTTACATTGACGGTTAGATCTACTTGAGTAGGCTAATCGTGACCATTTAATTCATGTGTTTTCTTGTGTGTACGCTAAATGGAGTGCGTTTAGAGGAATTAATGTTTGCTTGTTTAATAGTATTAATGATGATAATGATTAGCGTCGCCTGGCGCACGGCCGAAGACGTGGAGCCTGCAGAGGGTGCTTTCAAGAGCATGGCCGATGTGCGGCCCGACCGTCTCACATGGAAAATTCGGAGATTTGAAGGTCTCATGGATGCTGCACGAGTGTAGGCAATGCTGAACTCTCACTTCTTATTTCTTTTTCAGCATTTCATAACAGGGCATATATCAAAAGTTAGACTGGATTTTGATCCTCTTTCAATACTGCAATAGTTAGTGATGTCAATGTTCTATGCTTTGTGTTGAATCACCTTAATTTGGTTCCAGTGTTACAATGGACATGGAAATGCAGTCTCGGTGTTATATATAGATCACCGCAGACAGTCAGCATTACTCAAAATTTGTTTGTGATTCTCCACTGAACGCACACATACGAGGAAGACATGCAGCAGCCAGAGCTGTCACTATCCTCCACTGAACGCACACATACGGGGAAGAAAACATTACACCAAAGAAATTCCATATGAAGAATAGACAAGTATAGCAAACAGGCCATATGAAGAATAGACACTGTCGGACGCAAACTATACATAATTACAGGTCATATGTGACTTTGAAACAAGCCATCTACCAACACGAATATAAATATCAACGATTAACTGCTAATAGATATTCTGAACAAAACTAAAACTACTCATAGATACTGCACACAAATGAAAATACAGACAGTACACCTAGCTTGCCCTGGATTGTTGCGCGTGATCGACCTCTGAAGCTCGATCAGACCCTCTTCACGACGGGTCGATGTGGATTCTCAGCGACCTCGGCCCTCAGGTATGCCAATTGAGAGTCATTGTAGTCACCTTCGAGCACAACTTCCTTGAGGCTTGAGAGAGATGGTAGACCCAAAACGGAACCGCTGTTGATTAATGTAGTCCTACTCGTACACGTACAGACCTTGAGCACCTCAAGGTTCGGTGTAGTTCCTTGTTCAAACTTAACGGACCTGAGCCTTTCGAAGAGTCCCATGCTCAGCTCCAGCACCACCAGGCTTGGGAACATCCCCTGCTGGAAACTGAGGCGGACATTTTCACCCTCGGCTGTCTGCTTCAACAGATGCAGGAACGCCAGGTTGGGTAAATTCCCAAGGACTTGCAGGGCAGCATCGTGCTCTGTTATCCTGGTGCTCCGCAGCTTCAGCTTCACCAGATTCTTGAGCCTCTGGATCCATTCCGGTAGTTTCACCAGGTTGCCCTACAACTTGAGGCTCTGCAGTGTCTCTGGAAACGTGAACTTTCCCTCCAAGCAGCCACATAAACCTGGCTCCCCCTCTGACCGTATCAACAATGATTCCAGACGGCTCAGGCCAACAACTGCAGAACATAGCTCTTGCCCGTTTCTCTTATTGATGCCGGTCACTCCCAACTTACGCAGACGAACAAGCCGTTTTATGTCCTTTACAACATCCTTTCCCCGTCGCCCAATGTTCACAACACCCAGTGTACGCAGGGCTTCTAGTTTCCTCATTCCTCTTGGCACTAGAACCCCATTTAGTTCCAGGCGCATCAACGCAGCAGGGAATATGGAGCAGCAGAACAAAGTGCATATAGCTCGGTGGCTCAGGTCAGTATCATTGGAAGACAGTAAACAGGCATAACAAGATAACACCATCCAGAAAAATAAATTGCATGGCCCGTTCTTCAATACCTCTGGCAAATAATCCTCTATCAGTTCTAGTGAGGCATCCTCATCCAGCAGAATCCTCCCAGCACGAAGATTGTTTAGCTTCCGTAGCTTGACGATTGACTTTGGCAGCATCATTATTTTGGTACCTCTAATGTCTAGTGTCTCAAGCTGTCTCAGGTTGCCCAATGAATCTGGAAGGTGAACAATATCACATCCTCTTAGAGAAAGGTATCTTAGGTGAAGAAACTTCCCGATGTGCTTAAGGTGATGATCATGTAGACCGGTTGCGTCTTCCAGGTCCAGCACTCGTAGCAACCTCATCTTGTCACAAACAAAAAATGCCTTCCACTCTCCGAAACATGTGATTGACCGTAGACGGGACATGTCCACTATGCTCTCAAACTCGGTCTTGTTTCCTTTCCAGTTGCTGCTTATAGCCAGGTGGCGCACCGTGGCCTGGCTATTTGAGCTGCAACCTTCCTCAAGTGTAAAAAACAAGATTTTCTTCCATCGACTTTGAGACACCAATTTCACGGATAAGATCGTGGACTTGGCAGGAATCTATTCCTTTTGTACTTTGAATTGATTGTTGAGATGGTAGGATCATACTCCTGCTTATAAGTTCCATGAAGTAGTTGTCCGCTATTTCCTCTGCAGACCTGCCCCGCACCTCCCTTGAATAACCCTCTGCACTCCACCGACGTGCCAAGCGGCCCCGGCCAATCTTGTAATCTTCAGGAAAGATGGGCATATATAGGAAACATGACTTGAGGTGATAAGGTAAACCATCATAGCTTCTCATCAGGATAGTTCTAATGGTCCCAAGCTCTGGATTAATCTCCAACTCAGAATTGATATTATCATTCAATTTCCTCCATTCCAAAGAGGTTTTAGGTTGGTTCGACAAGAAGCCACCTATGGTGACTATTGCAAGGGGGAGTCGACCACACCTTCTAAGAATCTGTTCTGTCTGTTCAACTAGCTCTGGATATTGCAAATTCAAATCAGTAGTCTTCTTGAATACCTGAAATCATGTGGTATTTAGTACTACGGAGATTAAACCTGGTTGGGAAATAATATTTCAGTGTACTTGTTGGAATTGACATGCTAGAATCTTTGTCTCGTATACATGTATTAAAAAATGTGCACGTAGAATTAAATCACTTTATACTCAAGTTGTTCATCAAATACTGATTGATATGGAATAGAGCGGTTGTAGCCCTCTGGATAGACAAGATGCAGGTGGGTGGACCAATGGCTAATCAGTTCGATTTTGCAGCAACAATTGGAATTTGCAAATCATGAACAGGGCATTTGCTTCTATGTGTTTTGAAAGTGATTGAGCAACTGAACCAGCCAAATTCTTGGCATGTACTCCCAGTATGCCAGGAGATCACTATTGTTAGGAAGCATATATATATATATATTTGTAAAACATACTATTGGGAATCATGAACTACATTTTTGTTGCAATGCCTGAATTACTCCCAGTATGGACCATTTATTGTAGGGAAAGGATATGTTATTGATTAAGTTATGTTCAAAATAGAGCTGATCATTTTGGTTGAACAACTAAGACAACGGAAAAAAAATACATAGGGCACAATATGACAGAGCCACATAAACATAAAGATGATAATACCTTGTAACTAAGTACCTTTTTAGTGAAGAGGTCACGTGCATCCTTGTGTTCTAGATCTTTGAGCATGTATATATTTTCTTGTCTCTGTGAACAAAGTTTAGCTATATTTTCTTCCCTTGTGGTGACCACGATCCGGCTTGTATGTTCCATTCCATGGAAATTTGGTACTATCATGTTCCATTCTGCAGTAGATGATACATCATCAAGTACAATCAAGCACCTCTTTCCTTCTAAAAGACTTTCCATCTCCTTAATAAGTGCTATTAGTGGCATCAATAGTAATGTGTTCCTTCTCTTGCCCATCAAACTGACCACGTCTTTCTTATCTGAAGATTCTCTATCTAGTTGCATAATTAAGCTCCTAAGAAGAACTTCAAGATTGAAAGGACGCATAACTGTGACACAAGCACGCTTCTCAAATGTGCTACCCAGCTCTTGGTTTTCGTAGATATCTTTGACTAGAGTGGTCTTTCCTAGACCACCCATTCCCCACACAGAGATCACCTGGTATTCTTGGGTAGCTTGATTTGAAATAAGCTTGATAATCTCATATTTTTCTTTCTCTCGCCCAATAAGATGAGATTCCTCCAAAGCATTCATCATTGTCCTGGCGCGAGTCAAGCTCTTTTTTATGGTATTTTTTTCAGCAGCTCCCTGGAATTGATCCTCTAACATTTCACCAGTGGGCACTATAGAGTTGTTATTTGTAGTCGTAGTGACATGATCTGCGCTTGACTCTAAACCTCTTCCATCTTGAGAGACCTATGCACAAGCGAGAAATGTTCATCCATGTTGAGAACCCTATTGCATTAATGAATGTAAAATAATGCTAAATATGTAGATTATAAGAATCGACTGAATAGTTAAAATGCAACATTCCCATTTGAACCCTATTGACATATTTTCGTACCATTTCCTGAAGAAACCACAACTTAAAATTCAAATAAATTCAAACAAACACGTGCAGGTATACACAGACATTAGTACTCGAATGGGGTGTGCACTTTGTTTGCGAAAGGCTTAACTTATAATTTTGGTTTTTTTGGTCATCTGATACTACTTAATTATATGACAAAAAAGGTTCCCCGCTTTATATTATAAAGCAACCACTACACCACGAGTTAAACAAGCCACAACAACAAAAGAGAAAAAGAAAGAAACATAAACAACAAAGATACATGATGTCAAAAGAGCCACAAACAAGCATTGAATGAACCAAGCGCAAGCATGATGATCGAGCCCTCGACAAACTAGAGCAAGCACACGACGCAGCTAAGACGAGGTAGTAGCCGCTGTATGAGGATTGCCATGCTCCGTCAACTCCCATGAGGCAAGCCATTGTCAATCTGCCATCCTTCTCAACCGCCGAAGAGGGCCCCCTGCCCTCTAGTCCTCGATTGGAGGACACTCTGTCATCGACAGGTAGATTCGCTCACCCCTGAGCTCGCATGGCCAAGACCAACTGGTTGTCGGGGAGAGGACGACAAGCACAACAAGAGCACACGCCAACATCGCCATTGCCACATGCATGAACCATCTTCAACCGCACGTAGCCGAACATGAGCACTAGTGGAGATATCTGGCAGTCCACCACCCACGCCGAAGCCTTGACCACCAGAGCGTTGTCACCACCCAATCAGGAGAATTTGGGTTTTCATCCAGAACGGGGATGAGGGGGCAAGGGTAGGATCACGATGCCACCTCAGGAACGAAAACGACGTCGGGGCGTCGCCAACATTGTGGCCATAGCAACCAACCAATGGTTTCCTCCAATCTATCCCTACCAGACCCTCAGGCCCACCAACCGCCTGATCCAGCCAGAAAGACATTAGCAGCGCCGACCAGCGAGGTAGGAAGAAGCTCGATGGAGCCGCCACCATCTTCAGAACCGCTCCAAGGGCCTCCACCACCACTCTAGCCGCAACCCGCGCTGGACACCACAGAACCCATCACGCCGCCGCAAAGCATCGACCTTGCCACCGCGCTGTCGCGCCCTCTGCCAGCACCCCTCCACCACTCAACGAGACCGACCCGCGTCAGCCACCAGTGCGCAGGGGAAGAAAGGCCACGCCGCCAACGACACTGGCCAGGCTTCGCCCGTTAGCGCGAGCCGGCTGCGGCGAGGGGGGAGGAGGGGGGCTAGGGCCGGCGGTTAGGTTTCCCCTCCGCGTCGTCCGCGAGAGCGACCGGTAGGGGGAGGGGGGATGGTCCTGAGATTCAGATACTACTTATATACTGGGCTTTGCTTTAGTACACAAATTTATAAATAAGAACTTTACACAAGCTCATGAAAAACAAGCACAAATTCTTTTTGTTCGCTCGTGTTTTGAGTCATCCAATCAAGCTATCCATCATGTATTCAACTAGCTAGCAAAGCACCAAAAGCAAATGTGACCTGCATATTAAATGAGTAATTATGTAGCTTGATCTAAAGGAACAGGAGGAGGTGAAACTTGAATATTACCTTCTCGTGGAAAGCATAAATACGCTGATCAGCACACATGCACCTAAGCACTGATACTATGCTTTCCCGCGCTGCACATAATCTTGCAACTTCAACTTGAGCTGTGGACACTATGATCCTGCTCCCCATTGTCTTGTCTGGGAAGCACCTTTTGATGTGATCACGGACATGATGAGGAGTCTCGAAATGGTCGAGACATAAAGATTGATATATTGGACGACTATATTCGGACACCGGAAGTGTTCCGGGTGATTTCGGAGAAAACCGGAGTGCCGGAGGGTTACCGGAACCCCCCCGGGAGAGTTAATGGGCCACATGGGCCTTAGTGGAAAGAGAGAGGGGCGGCCAGGGTGGGCCGCGCGCCCCCTCTCCCTCTGGTCCGAATTGGGCTAGGAAGGGGGGGGGCACCCCCCTCTTTCCTTCCCCCTCTCCCCCTTCCTTTCCCCCTCCTAGTAGGAGTAGGAAAGGGGGAGTCCTACTCCTACTAGGAGGAGGACTCCTCCTCCTTGGCGCGCCCACAAGGGTCGGCCGACCTCCCCCCTTGCTCCTTTATATATGGGGGCGGGGGGGCACCCTAGAGACACACAAGTTGATCTATGGATCGTTCCTTAGCCGTGTGCGGTGCCCCCCTCCACCATATTCCACCTCGGTTATATCGTCGCGGAGTTTAGGCGAAGCCCTACGCCGGCATAACATCATCATCGTCACCACGCCATCGTGCTGACGGAACTCATCCCCGACGCTTTGCTGGATTGGAGCCCGGGGAACGTCATCGAGCTGGACGTGTGCTGAACACGGAGGTGCCGTACGTTCGGTGCTTGGATCGGTCGGATCGTGAAGACGTACGACTACATCAACCGCGTTGTCATAACGCTTCCGCTTAACGGTCTACGAGGGTACGTAGACAACACTCTCCCCTCTCGTTGCTATGCCATCATCATGATCTTGCGTGTGCGTAGGAATTTTTTTGAAATTACTACGTTCCCCATCATACACTTGGTACGGAGATTGATAGATGCTCAATTATCCAACCAACCCGATTCGATGCACTGGAAGTCGGCTAGAAACTAAGTGTTTACAGTAAAATCTTTTTACATGGTTCTAGTTAATTCTGGCCCAATCCCGAGATCGATGCATATTTGAAAGGTAAAGGTTTCCTTGCGTATCAAAATTTTCATGTGGTTTGTCCACAAACAAGTGATCCTCACGAAAGATAATTTACTAAAGCGATGACGGGTAGGCAGTTCACGATTGTTTTTGTGATCATGATGAAACAAT